GACAATTTTGTATCTCTGGAGATAATTATCATCATAATATGATTCTCTCTAATAGACTGCTATTGTTAAGTGCTGGTTGAGTCAGTTCCAACTCATAGCAACACTGTTTAATGTTACTGAGGACGGGCTGGTGAGTTTGAACCACCAACCTTGAGGTTCTAACCGGCCTTGCCGTCTAGTGTGTATCTTTCAGCATCATACCAGGACTCTAATAGGCTAATTTCCTCTTATATATCAGCAAGGATAAAGCTTCAAAACAGTGTATCTTGTCTAAATATGAAAAATACATGTTAGCAACTAGAGCAAAAAGATTGGCGTGAAAGCAAAAATCCTTTAAGAAGTCCATAGAAAAGAAAATCCTAATTTGAAATACAGAAAATAGAAGTCACCTCTTTCATTCAGTTCCAGGTGCAGACATTAATACAATCTGCCTTATCCTTTCCATAGGCAGTTTCTATACTATTACGGTTTTAGAAACACAATGTGCAGAACTTCACAAACTAGTACTCACCTGGTCTGCTTCTCAAAATTAGATGCATTAACCTCAAACACTTTCTCAGTATCCCATTTCTGTTGGATTTCTTCTTCAATCTTCTTCAAAAAGTCTACTTTGGCTGTACCTTTTCTTTCCTATTGGACACAAGAGACAGAATAATTTGCTCTACACTTCAGTGGCCTTCTTTTAAAGAAAGGAGTTAAAAAAAACAAAAAAGGAATTGGGTTCACATAGAACTGAAATGCTCACACAGAATTTGTTACATAATTTTCTTGGAAGTTGAAATGAATAAGATTAAAAATTAGAGTTAACATCACCTGCCCTGCCCACTTCAATCAAAGAGATGGCTAAAGGATTACTTCTTGTTGTTAAGTACTGTCCAGTCAATTATGCCCGTATAGGGATTCCAAGAAGTGGTTGGTGGGTCTGAATCACCAACCTGGTGGATAGCAGTCCAGCATTTATCCTACAGTGCCACACAATGACTCTGGAACTACCTAGATATGTAAAAAGTTTTAAATACTGTTTTAAAATTACATACACTAATATAACTGCCATCAAATGTCATATTTAAAATATATGAAAATTTAGAAACACATAGGGTGGAATAGTCCCTGCATGCCCAAATATAATTTTGCCCCACCCAAAAGGCCGTGGAGGCTCCTTACATAGACGTTACTATCAAAGAACATTAGTCATCTAAGGTGGTGAAAAAAACTTCTTTCCAAATGGTTAACAGACTATAAATCTGAAACTAAAATGTTACAGAAAATGGCAAGCATGTGTCTAGTAGATAGATTGGAGCTACCTCCAACATTGGGGGTCACCCATCAAGCCACACTTAGGAGGAAGTGCAAGGAAAAAATATATGTAGTATCACTCTAACTCTAGAAAATAGGTTTCCTGTTTCATTCTCAGTTTGCAATTCTCTATGAAAAAGAATTAGCTGCTAATAGCTAGTGTGAAGCTGGAGTCACCATATAACACAGCACTCAAGGGAACACACAGAGGTGAAAGCTAGATACCAACTGATATAACCCACTTCTATCAAGTGGTTTCAGATTCATGGTGACCCTGTATAGGGTTTCCAAAGCTGTAATCTTTGAAGAAGCAAAAAGTCTCATCTTCAAATCTTTACAGCAAGGATCACTCCCCACCCCCTCAGTACACAGGGTTGACAAAGATGGGCAACTTAGACACTGGCTACCCAAAATGGGGGGGGGGGGGGAGGGAAGGCTATAAAGGCAAGAAGTGACTGGCTTACAAGCCTTCAACAGGGCACCTAGTTCCATACGGGGCGGGGGAAGGTAGACTCCACAGAATGGTTTCCAATCTGTTGGGACGGGGCTAATGAAAGGAGATGGGGATAAGATTCTTCTGGTACAATAGTGAATAATGCCATCAGGACTGACTGTGAAAGTCAGAAATGTAAAGGCAAATGTTTTTGATGTTTTTTAACAAAAGGAGGGGAGTGGTTGCTTTAGCAGTTCAGGAGCGGAGGTCCCTGGGACCATCAACTTGATGGGAAGAGCGGTGTGCAGGACCCTACCCAGAGAGGCAGTGATGCCAGAAATGGAGACAGAGATGATGACATGGAGAGTTGAAGCAGCTGGGGACACTGGACTCAGGGAGGGAGAGGGGCTGTATGCTGACAGCCCGGGGGCGGGCGTGTGGGGTGAACTCTTTGGTTATTTGATGATGCATAGAGGGGATTATAATCATTGCAATGAAACTAAATATAATAGGATGAATGCAAAAAAAAAAAAAAAAAAAAGACAATAACAGCTGTTGCTGAAGATGTGGGAAACTGGAGCCCTATACAATTTTTTTATTCTAGTCAACCTAGTCATATCCACTATGAAAGCTTTAATAAAAAATTGAAACAAACAAACAAAGGTCTCGACTTTCTCTTATGGAGCAGCTGGTGGGTTTGAACTGCTAACTTCACAGGTAACAGTCGAGTGCTTATCCTATAGCACTACAAGGGCTCCTTACCAATGAACATTTGCAAATCTAACTCTGTTTTTCAAAAACTAATACTATTATTATTTTATGCTGGGAACTAAATTGATTTTTCTTCTCCTTGAGCATTTGTGGGGCTTCAAAAACTTCATGGAAAAACAGAATTAAAATATAATGGACTTTTTTTATTTCACAATAAAAAGTTTAAAAGGCAAATAAAGAAATTTTTTTAAGATAATGGGATTTTCAACTATCTTTTACATTGAGGTGTAACCCATACTGAAGACTGTGGTCTTTGATCTTCATCACTTAAGTATTTTAAGTCTTCTTCGCTTTCAGCAAGCAAGGTTGTATCACCTGCATATTGCAAGTTGTTAAAGAGTCTTCCGCCCATCTTGATTCCTCATTCTTCTTCATATAATCCAGTTTCTCAGAGTATTTGCTCAGAGTACAGACTGAATAAATAAGGTGAAAGAACATAACACTGGCACACATCTTTCCTGATTTTAAACCACTCAGTGTCTCCTTGTTCTGTTTGAATGACAGCCACTTGGTCTATCTATGTACATGTTTCTCAAGGGCACACACAAATAAGTGTTCCAAAATCCACATTCCCCACATTGTTGTCCATAGCTCATCATGATCCACATAGTCAAAAGTCTTTGCATTGACAATAAAGCACGGGGAATCATCTTTCTGGTATTCTCTGCTTTTAGCCCAATTCCATCTGATGCTAGCAATGATATATATAAATATGTATGTTGCTATATCCTTCAGTATGGGTTGCATCTCAATGTCAGAAAAACAAAAATCCTAACCACTGGACCAATAAACAACATTCTTATCAATGGAGAAAGGATTGAAGTTGTCAAGGACTTTATTCTTCTTGGATCAACTATCAACACTTGTGGAAGCAGCAGTCAAGAGATCAACAATGTACTGCATTGGGCAAATCTGCTGCACAGGAACTTTTTAAAGTGCTGAAGAGCAGAGATGTCAGCTTGAGGACTAAGGTGCATCTGACCCAAGCCACGGTATTTTCAATAACCTCATATGGATGCGAAAGCTGGACAGTGAATAAGGAAGACCGTAGAAAAATTGATGCCTTTGAGTTGTGGTGTTGGAGGAGAATACTAAAAGTGCCATGGACTGCCAAAAGAACCAATAGATCTATTTTAGAAGAAATGCAGTCAGAGTGCTCCTTGGAGGCCAGGATGGCTAAGCTTCGTCTCTCATACTTTGGACATATTGTCAGGAGAGAACAGTCGCTGGAGAAGGATGTCATGCTGGGTAAGATGGAGGGTCAGAGAAAAAGAGGATGACCACCCCCAACGAGATGGATCAGTCAGGTGGCATCATTGATGGCGTCAAGTGTGGCAGTGGTGGTGGGGTTGGCCCAGGATCGGACATTGCTTCGTTCTGCTGTGCATGGGGTCGCTATGAGTCAGTTCCGACTTGATGGCACCTGACAACAACAACAACATATGTTGCTATTAAGTGCCGTTGAGTTGGTTCCAACTCACACAACCCTGTATAGCGTTTCCAAGGAGCAGCTGGTGGGTCTGAATTGCTGACGTTGTTCTCGGTCCAGTGTTGTCCTATAGCACCATACCAGGAGCCTAGCATATTGGAATAGAGTGGTTAGTCACTTGTTAAGGGGGTTTTGCAGTAAGAGGGTTAAAGGAGTTGATGAAAGGAGTTAGTACCAACAATGGGAAGGAATGAGTAAGTGTGATGCTGTAGAATAAGCACTAGACTGAAAGGTAAGTTTAAACAGCAAGGTCAGCAGCTCAAACTCATCAGATGCTCTTTGGAAACTCTATACAGGGTCATATGAGTTGGAACCAAACTCAATAGCACTTAACAAAATCCTGGTATGGCACTGCAGGTTAATGCGGCAGACTGCAAAGTCGTCTTTATCGTAAGGTTGGCAGTTCAAACTCACCAGCTGCTGTTAAGTGGCATCGAGTAGGTTGCGACCCTGTTTAGGATTTCCGAGGAGTGGCTGGTGAGCTTAACCACCAACCTTGCAGTTCAAACTGACCTCATGGTTGAGTGCTTATTCTATGGTGCCACACCAGGACTCCATATACATATACACATACATACAGAGTCCTGGTGTGGTGCTGTGGGCTAATGTGCTAGACTCTAAGCTCAGTTTGATCTGCAAGGTTGGAGGCTTAACCTCACCAGCTGCTCCTTGGAAACCCTATAAAGGGTTGCTATGAGTCAGAACTGACTCAATGGAACTTAACAACTATGTATATGTATATATGTACACACACTCACACAGGACTCAAAATAATGGATAGGTAGGTCCCTGTCACCACATGCCACGTGAGCTTTCATCTGCTTAGCCAGAGTCAATGAACCAGGTGCAGGCCAGCAACTATCTTGAGAACTGAGACCCAAGAAGCAGAGACAAAGTTGGTAGTAGCCTCTGAAACCAAAAGATCATGTAGGTTCTGGTGTTTGGAATAACCGATGATAAAACAGAAGCTAGTCTAAGGAGAAAAACCAGTGATAGAGCTGTGAAGAGAAGAACACAGTGACCAACATGCAGCCCTAGAGACAGTTGCTTACTAAGTCCCATCGAGTCGGGATCTGACTCATAGCAACCCTGTACAGGGTTTCCAAGGAGCAGCTGGTGAGTTAGAACTGCCATCCCATCCTAAACGGCCAAAACCCACGTTGCAGTTTACCGCATTAACCGGCAACACCACATCAGAAGTCCCTAGAGACAGTGACGGTAAAACGCGGCTGCAATTCCTGACGGTTTTCTAGTTTTAGAACTTCATAAAGCCTAGTTGTGGTACCTTCTATTATCAGGTCCTAAGTCATAAGAAATACCACTGTATTATCAGTAAATTCCTATCTACTTTAACCAACTTACGTTGTTACCTACTGCCTACAATCAAATTATTTTTAAGACATGTATCCAATTTTAATGCTTGTAAACTCTGGCTGGTAGAGACTTATTATTAGTCCAGTCATCTCAGCACCAAGTACAATGACATAGACACAGAAATTACTTGACAAATACTTTTTGTTTAAACGTGAACATCACCCATTTTAAAAACAGAACATGAAAACAATATTGTTATTAGGTAACATCTAGTTGATTCCAACTCATAGTGACCCTATAACATTCACAAACTACTTAGAA